AAAACAACTGGTTTCTTGAACTTTTCTAAATTTAATATGCATTAGGTTTCTATTGACATCATCATAGGTGTCTGTATATGTAAGTTTGTACACACATACTCTAAAATGTACTAATAAATTAAATGTAGATGAAGGAACAAATATGTTTGAGTTGTCACAGCAAAAAGACAAAATGTCATGTGAGCAGTTTCTTTTTCTTTATAAAGGGTCCATTGCATTGGAATCTGTAGAAAACTAGAATCTATTTCTGTTATTAAATGAAGTTATAGTGCTTAGATATAATTGGCACTTAAACTTCCAAGTGTGAAGACATTCCAGCTCTAAGAAATTATGCAAGATGGACTTAAAGGAGCTGGAAATGGTCTTGTATATTGTAGTTGAGTTAGAAGAAGAGAGTTTTACCACTGTATTCTTACCAGAGGTAACTGGAAGGACAAATAAGGTCTTAGAATTTGAGCAGTAACATGAAAGGTGCTAAAAGATTTGCTTAGAGCATATTAGAATCAGTTTACTCTCAGGAGTTTAAGCTAGTAACATACTTTAACATCACAAACCTGCAAAAACTGAGAAAGGTGAATTAATATTCTTAGGGCTTTAATTTCTTAAATGGATTAGAATATGTAACTTTGAAAATAATGAATCCTTGTGACGTTTTTGTGACTTCTGTTTTTCTTCTTTACTTTCCAACTGACCAGAAATGTGCTGAAACGGACACTTTAGAGGGGGGCAAGAGATACAAGGTAAGTCCTGCATCTTAAAAGAATTAAAATTTTCTAAATCCATTTTGTAAATAAAGCTATTTTTTTAGTGAGAAGTGTATCCCTTTAAATTTTCCTGGTTTTATAATCCTGTTAAAATGGCAGGTTTTCCAAGAGATATGTTCCTATACAGACAGAAATTTGGGGATATGTAGTACCTGTGTTACATGAACTAAGAGCAAGTTTCTGTGATAATATGCTTTGGCATTTGATACAAGTCATTTTTTATTACCTCTTAGAATTTTGAGTTAAATATTTGTATGCTGATTAAACAATATTTTCTCTTTTTAAAGGACTGTCATGCTTGCAAGCCTTCAGAGGTTATATTAGGCTTTTTCCAAATGCGAATAGTTTTGCTATTGGTAGGTAAAACTTTGGCCTATGGAGCATTTTGTTTGTTTGTTTTTCTGCAGTGATTCAGGCTCGTCCCAGCACTTGCAAAGGGCCACCAGACCCAGTGTGGTTTAGTTAAATCAGTCCTGGCAGAGATGAGGAAACTTCTGTTTCAGAGGGAGTAACCAAGGAGTTTAATGGCTGCTGATAGTGCTGTCTCAGGAGGTATTAGGGAGGGAGATCAAGCAGCTCAGTAAAACAAGGAATTTAGATTATTTCAACTAAAACATTCTCAGTTTTGGAACTGTGTGCCTGTGTTGTTCTGCTGGTCCCCAAACAGTGACAATTCTGATCCTGCTCCTCCCTCCCCATCTCTTGTATGGGAAAAAGGGCTTTGCTGGGGGGGTGAGAGAGGTTGCCTGATTTTCAGGGTAACTGAGACAGAGCACCAAGCTTAAAGTCTCCTTGATAATTTCTACTGAGGCCCCCTTAGATGGACCAGAGCATTGGTTCCACCTCTACAGAAGAAGCCAGACACTGCACATGACTTTCATGGCTAAGAACTGCTCCAGAGACTGGAAGGACAGCAAGACATACAAAACTGGGTATACACAGAAGGTGGTTTGTATCTGGAGCATTGATGTATTCCAACAAACCCCAGAACTGTGGTGTAAGGCAAAGAAAGAGCAACTGGATACACCTGCAGAGAGGGGAGCTTCCTTTAACCTGAAGGCAAGGTGTGTGGAGGGTTGTGTTCGGGCTGCACAAAGAGCAGAGCAGGTTGGTTAGACTTGGCAAACCAGTTCCCTTGGTGTGCTGGGTTAGTAAATCTACAACCTTCTTTCTGACTGGGAGTGTATCTGCTGCTCTCCTAGCAGAGTGCCCAAAAAAAGAGATCAACACCTGAAATTAGGCCTATTTGCACTTGACAGCCATGAATGTTTCATGTTTGCTTCTTGAAATGAAACTGTTCCATGCTGCACTGCGGACAGGGAACCGGTATTCCTGGCCTGGTTTAAGCCTTTTTACCACCTGAAGTTCAAGAGCCAAAATTGCATTGTATTAGTTATGGCATACAACATTTCCAAACTTTCCTTCTGTGGTGAAGATTGATGGCTTCTGTAAAACTGCTCCTTGTGGTTGTTGAGGCTCTGTCGAAGCCACAGCCACAAAAATCTTCCATATCCTGAAACTCCAAAGCAAATGCACGTTACAGAATTTATTTAAGTATTCACATTCCTGTTATTAAATCCAGATGTTAATGTAACAGTTTTGCACTTGTGCAATAAACTGGGTCTCTGATTGTTGACTCAGTAGACAGTATTTTAAGATTTCATATTTGGGTACTTGGCTAAAGCCATTAATTAAATGTTTGAAGACGGGCTTCAAGCTGGGCAGAATGCCAAGAGCAACAAAGTGAGAGAGAAGTCACAGTTAAACTGATTTTTGATCTTCACACTAACTAGTGAAACACCAATGAACAAAACACTAAAAATAAAGACAAAAAGAAAACACGCTGCTTTTCTACCCTTCTAAGACTGAATTTGTGAGATGATTAGCCCTAGTTTATATACCTATATATATATATACACACACACACGTTTTTGTTCCCACATTTTGTTTCTAATACTAGAAGCCTGCTGGAAGCTGGGGAACAGTTGCTAAAAATGTGAATAAAAATTCTAGAGACATTAAAATTAGTGTGCCAGTCATTCTTTACTCTAAATGTAAAAGAGGTAGCTCATAAAAATTCAGCAGAGAAACTCATTAAAATGAGTTCAGGTTGTTAGTGTATTCCAGTAAAGTCCAGTTAATACCCATAAATGGTTCTTATATTTCATGAGTGGCAACTTTTTCAGTATTTCCTATAGAAAAAAATAAATAGAAGAGACGTAGAATTCCAGCTACTGGCATTCTGACTAACTTTAAAAATGAAGATGTATTGCTTGGTAAAGTTGCAATCCAGCAAAGCTTTAAGCATGTGTTTCTGAGACTAAATGGGGTGCACAAAGTTGAACACATGCTTAAAGCTCGTCAGGATTTAGAGCCACATGTCAGCAAAGCTTTAGGAAAGGAATAGTTGTGATGTAACATAAGCAGGGAAACGGGTGTGTAACTGTGTCTGGGGGGGTCTCCTCACACCACAGTGCCACAGATGCAATTCTGTGTGTGAGCAATCCCTTACACAGAGGTGTTCAGAGTGAATTATGGTATCCCTGTCTTTATGTTCATTATGGTTGGTCTGAATTGCACCATTTCTGCATTATTTTAGGAGGTTTTGAGTGGAGTAATAAATCTCCCTGAACTATTTTTGAGTGTAGTTTTTCATTATGATATGTCACTTAGGATGTTATTTTTTAGGATATTCACTTTAAAAAATATCATTTTAAACGTATTTTTCTATGGAAAGTACAGCTCAAGACAGGTACCCAAGAAGAAATGCCTCAGTGTTTTGCTGATGATTTCCAGTATGTAACTTGTACTCTTTGTACAGCCATACTCTGTATAAATATCCTTAGTGTGTTTGTTTATAAGGTTTTTGTTAAAGCCTTGTAACCTGTGTGAATTAGGAAATAGCTTAAAAAATCCTTTTTTTTAATCAGCTCTTGATACCATTTAGTACTGATGTGTCAGAGTTGCTCTTATTCAGATCAGTAATATTTTTGAGTGGCTGTATGCTTGTTCACACATTTTCCTCTCATAGTTCTGCCTGTGCTCACTTCACATCCAACAGAGAGCAATACATTTATGCACACTCCTAGTAAGAAAATTCTGAAAATAGATAAATTCAGACTGTCTTTGATTTAGTATGACTGTGCAGCAGCCTTTGCTGTGCAGCTGGAGGCCAAATGGACAGTGAAGCTGTGTGTTTGCAGGTCAGCTCTCCTTTTTAAGTTATTCACTTCTACAAAGTGGGGTGTTTTGAGAAAAAATTGCAGAATTTAATGCTTGTCCTCAGAGGAGCACGTGAATGTACTGATGTAGGTATTTTTGCAAACCTAGTTTCAGGTAAGAAATCCAAATCTTAGATACAATTTGCAAGTAGTGAAAGTGCTGATAATACTTTATCTCACTAATAGCAAGGATTTGCTCCAAAGGCAAAGGTAATCAGTTAACAGTCATTCCTTTGGGACTTGCTGTTATTTCTTTACAAATTTCCAATGTTTCTGTAGTTTGGCTCATGTGTTTTAGGTAAGTACTGAGAGCTGTTACAACACACAACTTCACAACTGTGTGTGAAGCTCCAGAAAAGACAAAACCTCACCATTTTCTCCTTAATGTGTTCAACAGTAATTTCATTTGCAGTGTCTGTTGAGCAGGAGGATTTCAGTTCACAGTTTATGAGGGTAGAGCTCACTGGCTGTGTTTCTAGTAAATACTTAATTCAAGAGAAGTTACTGCTTTATGTTGCAGTCTTTATTATTTCTGAATTTGTGTGGGTTATTTACAGTAATGTTTGTTTATTTTAATGTCAAATAATACAGCAGCACTTGCATAGGAAGTACTGAGCAAATGCTGTCAGTGTTTGCAAAATATAAACCATCTTTATGGGGATTATAAATCTTCCAATGTGAATCAAGCCTTAAATAATTCACTCTACAGCTGTAGATGGTTTCAACCAACTTTCTTTGCTTCTGTGAATAACAGTGTAATTTGTGATTTTTGGAATGAGAACCTCCCTCCTCTGCCAGATGTTCCACCCTTCCTCTGTTCTGCCAGTTGAACCATTTGATGGCTCTTTCACCAGGTCCTGTAGAATGTGCCTGATTTTAAAAGCTGGGCACGCAGAGTTAGGAAAACAGAAAGGTGGAGTCTCTGGGAAAGGGTGAAATGCAGATGGTTTCAACCTATTCCAACCCACAGTTCATCTTTCTCTGCTTTGAGAATGCTCTGAGCAGGAGCAGGGGGGGAATGTGGAGCCCAACCAGCCACTGGACATGGAGTGTGGACAGAACACGGGCAGGTGCTGCCCTTCAATGCAGACTAACCACAGTGAGACTCCTGGACACAGACATGGCTCAAAATTCTACTGTTTCTCAAATATCTGGGGCAGGTGGAGCCAGAAGGTATTTCAAAAGATACAGTTCCATAAGCATCTCTCATCTGCCTGGGGGTTCTTGGCATCCGTAGTAGACTTCTGAAAGCCTGATCCAAGCCTTATCCTGGCTGGCTGAGGAACATGGTCAAGAGGCGAAAAGGCTATCAGGGAAGGATGGTATACAGAGCATTTTTGATGGGTAAGGTGGAAGCTGAGTTGAGAGGTGATTTAGTGATACATGGAGGATAGAAACAAATTGAGAGTTCAGGGAGAGGAATCAGGAATGGTACTAAAGTTGTGTGGGGAAGAAAGGAACTATGATCTGATCTAGAAAAGGAATTATGAAAAAAACGCAAGAGCAAAAGAAACCTGGACTGTAGTATTTATATCTGACCAGATTATATTTAAGGAATATCTTGTTTTCGTGATTTTCCAACAGAGTTTCTAATCAAGCTTTGTGTTGGTTTTTTTTTTTCTATATTTTGAGTGCTGCTCAAAAATGTATCTTTGAGGAAAGAGTGGGATTGCTTAGGTTTTCCAGCCTGTTTTTACTGATTTATTCATGATTAAAAACGCTGTGTGTTTTAGTGTTAGTAAATAGATCAAAGTGTTTTGAAACGTACCCTAATAAATGACATTGGATAACTGTTAAATGATGGAAATGTTACAGATCAGAAGAGATACTAAAGCAAGATATTTTCTGTTATGCTGCTGAAGACCAGAAATGTCTACTATACAGAAAAAAGTATTATTAGGAGAGAAATTATGGCTCCAAGTGTTTTTAGGCTAATGAGTTCATAAATTGACTGCTACCCTAGTTGTGATGTGTTCAGGAGAAGAAATGTTCAGTAAGAGCTTTTTCATTAGAGTACTGCAGAGGGATAGAAGAGAATATATTGAAAGTATTTCAGCCTATGTTTTAAGGATTTTTTTTTGCATTCTGAAGCTCATGAAGTTTACTCCGTGACTGAAGAACATTTTCAGCTGAGGGCAGAGAATTAATTCAGCCACTTGGTTGTTCTGACAGAACCCTGTATTTAATCTCTCTGCCACTGGACCTAATTTGCCAGTAACTGGTTTAGTTTTGGTAAACCCTTGAAGTAGATGCCCTGTTGGTGTTGTGTTATTATTTTAATCATACATTTATGAACATTATTTTCCTAAATTAATATGATATTTGGAAATAATTGGTAGAATGAATGAAGGTGTTGCAGTCAGGTTTTCTCATTTTTAAGTCTACACTTACGACATTTATATCTTTTAATACATGAGGCCTTTTTCTCTGTTTAATAAATTTCTGTTAAGTGGTTCTTGAGATTTTAAGTATTTCTAAAGGCCATTATGTTTCTTCCTTGATCAGCTTATTCTTGGTTGCTGCCATTTCTGCATAAACAGAGGACTTTTCCCTCTCCTTTATAACTGAGGGAAATGAGAATGATGATTGTTTTTCAAGAGGAAGGTTTACTGGCTTTTTTTTACTTCTATTTGTATTATAAGAAAGATCCCAAGAAATACAGAAATTAGATGTGTTACAGCTGCTAAGTGTAGCAATTTGTGCCCAAATCTGCTGTAAACAATGTTCTATTTCTTATTTATTTATTTTTAAACAAACAGCTTTGTAAGGAATGAAATATTGGAACACAATAGTTTAACAGATAAGACTTCTTTGAAAGTGGCCTTAGGCAACATAAACTCTCCTGACCCAGAGTTTCTGCCCTGTTAGTCTTTAGCTAATTTCAGTATGGAAAATGGAATTCCAGTTCATTTTAGCTTTGGGGATCGTGAGAAATTGGTTCTTAAAGCACCAAGGGCATGGACTGGGGATTATAGCATTAAACTGTTTAGAACATCAGAGTTTTCAGGCAACATACTAATAACATCATTTTTCTGGTTATTTTAGAATATGGGTGTTGATCTGGAGATTAAACTACATTGCTTATAATCTTGGATCTGTATTTATAAAAAAATAATAAGTGATATTCCTTCCTGTGCTCTTACCCTGTTCACAGGGAGTATTAATGTTAGAAGAAATGTGCTTGATTTGAGAAGTTAAAGTTTGGCTTTTGTTTAGTAAAGAGTAATTTCATCTTTAACCAATTTATTTATTTTTGTGTTACAGCCATAATACCATGTATGTGGTGTATCTTCATGCTTAATTTCCAATGTTTAGGAATCTTGGGGTTGATATTTTGTGGTTTGCTGGGGAATTTTTCTTCCTGAATGTCTGTGCTTAAATGCATGGAATTCAGCATTCTTTCAGTATGCAGCTTTGGTGTTTCTATTAAAAAAAAAAAACAAAAACACTTTAATTCTGGGGAAGATCCTGCAAGATGTAAATCTATTACAACTGATGTAATTGCATTCACATTGGGATCTTTTGTCACTGTTGTATCAAAAATCAGGTCTCAATGCAAAGTGGGCTGTAAGCAGGTGAGCAGTGCAGTGTGACACTGTTCTCCCTCCAGGAAAGTGGGAAAACTTTTCTTTCTTCCTGCTTTACCAGGAGGTGTAACTTGGAGGAAGGGGCTCATCCTCCTGCAGCCATGAATCTGAGTAACAGCTGATACAGAAGTGATGAAACAACTGTGCTTTTTAGAGTTTGTAATAGAAAGGAATGCTTTTAAGCCAAGCAATTACACATCTTTGCCCAGTTGCAGAGGCAGCTTTTGCTGGAAGGATGGACCTCACTCTGACCGTAGAATAATGACACATCAGTGGAGAATATTTTATGTGTCTTACAAGAGCTGGCAAGAGCCCAGAGTGGTATTATGGGATTGCCAAAACGTGCTGTCACTGCCCGTGTGTAGTTAAGGGAGGTGAGCAGTTGTACCACAGCACATGTGAGGAGTACACTAATTCAGGGGTGGAGCTGTGAGGCGCCTTTGGGAACTCCAGGAGAGCCTTCAGAATCCAGGGTTGTAGCTCACACAGTGGTTTTGTCTAAGCAGGACAGCAGCACTATAAAAAATCATCTCAGTACTTACCCCACCACTTTTAATTAGCCCTTTATTGTGCTTTTGTTGCTATTCAAAATGTCACATCATCCAGTGTCAAGTGAAGTCCCATGGACTTGTAAACCAGACACGTTCATGGTTTTGGACCAGGCCTCTCTTTTCTTTCTAGTTAAAGGAAACAGAATGGATGAGAAGATTAAATACTTCTAATAACTTTGAAGTAAAACCAGTCATTTGAGACAAATACATGTCGTAAAGCTCTGCCATGATTTTACATGGTGGGTACATGATCAGATATAGGAAACAAAAGAATATTGTAGAACCCTAAGCACTTATAGTGTAAATCAGGTAAAGAGTGCACGGTAAACAGCTGCTGCTCTAGGATGTACAGCAAGTTGATTTTTATCTTTTTTTTAATTAAACATCAATCTGTCACCTTCTAAATTTTTCTTTTGTCCATTAGTGGGTTAAATTTTAAAAGTTTTGCTTTGAGAAGTTAAGAGCAACAAGTTGACTGGTTTCCATGGGAGCTAATTCAAGTTATTGTTTGCATTGTTAATATCTGAAAGTAGATGTGTTGGTGCAAGTCAACATGCAGCAAAAGGTTTGTGAAAGAGAGGTTTTCTAAGTTGTCCTAAGGCTCTGAGTAGGGCCTGCTTAACTGGGAACCACCTGCATGAGTGCACTGAATTTCAGGTCAGATATAATCATTTTGATCTTTTCAAGACCCTCTAAATGGAAGTTGCTAGTAATCTCTAATTATGCTTACCTTATTTTGAATTCATATCTAATTAGTATTTAGTTTATTGCTGAATGTGAATAGTATGTTGAATTCTGTCCAATAGAAGTTGGTTGTGTTTTTTAAGAGAACAGCAAATATTATAATAATAAGGCTTTGCTAGTCTCTCTAACAGTGTACAGAAATAAAAAGAAGCAAAGTATATATTTTTACAGAACTTCCAGTTAAGAGATGTGACTGTGCAAGGCTCCATCCCATTTGTGGCAGGAGGCAAAGAGCAGCACGGTCAGCGGGAAGCAGTCCTGCAGTTCCTTCCTCCTTGACTTCAGTCCTTGTGCTTTCCTTGCTTTGTTCAGTTCAAGGGCTTGGTTTACAGGCAGTAAAATAAACAGAATAGCACCTGCAGCTTAGTCATAATGGGAACATCTCGCAGTAGCCAACAAATGAAATCATGGAGTCGTCCAGCCTTTCCTGAAATGCCTTAACAGCTTTACCAACATTCATTTTTAGAATAGGTCAGTATTTTGGTTATCAAAGGACTCTGAACACATTTGTGAAAGGCTATGATCCAGTTTATTGATAAAAGTTATTAATTGTTGCCTGAACTGTCTGAACACCTCTTGTAAAAAGCTCTGTGTAGGTTCTCTTCCCTTTTTTTCAATAAATACCCACTTGTAGGACATGACACTAAAACATGTAGCAATCCTATGATGTGTTCATATAAATATTTGACCCTTACTCCAGACTTGAGCTATCAAGTGCTTTTATAATACCAAAATGAACACTTGGGTTTAGATTTTTTCATATGTTGTCAACTTCAATCACATAAATAGATTCTGCTGGCTACACTTTATGTTTGCTGGCCACAGAAAATCATGGAGCACATGGGATCTTACTAATTCCTTCCATAAAGTTCTGTCATAGAGCAGAAGAACTGAACTTGCTTTTTGGCAGGTTAATCTGAGTTTATCTTGCAATTATTTGAACACTGCTGCTGAGTGCTCCACATTAAAGCTGATATTAAGGACTTCGGAATTTTTGTTAATTGGAATTCGAGTAAGTTGCTTCTGAAATCTTATGTCACTATGTTTTATTTGTTTTATTGTAAAAAAAATTCTAATTTAAATGTGCAGAGACTTATGAGGATGAGAAACTAGAAGCATCATTTGTTTGCACCCCAGTAATGCACATGGTTTCTTTTTTGTTTGGTTGGTTCCTTTGTTTCTTTGTCTTGCTAAATTTAGGTATTATAAAACTGACCTTGTGTTGCTTCCTAAGCTGACTCCAAATTAATTTGCTGCCAGTGTTAATATGGGCATTTTAATGTAGAATATTAAAGCAAATGTAAAATATTGACAATCAACATCATCTTCATAGACTGAAAAACAGGAATGTCACATTTAGATTTTTCTGACCATTTGCAAATGATATATTTCCATGCACTGTGTGTGCAACATCTAAACAAGATACTACTTTGTTTTACCTTCCTAGTTTAAAGTATTTTCTGTGAAGCTGTTTATTTCAATAGAACTGGTGAGGGTATGTGCTATAGCAGCTTTGTGTTTGTTTAATCCAGTTAATCCAGCTGAATGATTTACACTGGTGTAATATGAGCATTGCTGATTAAGAATATCCACAGAAAAGATGAGACAAAATCAAATTGTGCCTGCTCAAAAGGTGATTAAAAGTAAGAAGTTGTTGAGTTGCAGAGTTAGTTTCATAACTTTCATAACTTTCTTAAAAGAAGATATATTTGAAAAGTTTTATGTAATCAGTGAACAATTTAAACATTTCTTCACCTGAAGGTATTGATTTTGTTTTAGTGATGAATATTGTGCATATTGAACCTTGGCTTGCTTTACTTAAAATATCTGTAAGAAGTGTAGCATCTTGGATAAATTCTATTATTAATTATCATTTTAAAGCCCTTGAAGTGTGAGCACAGAAGATAATTGTAATATTTACAACTCCTTACAACATTTTCATGGACCTTAAGGTATTTAAACACTACGTTTCTCAACATTGCTCAGAGGTTGATCCTTCCCAGTGCAGGGTTATGTGAAGCCCACCTGCTGTTTGCACGGGTTGGTTTGAGAAGGCAGCAGTGTGAGAGAAGAACAGAGAACTCATCTGGCTGGCCCTACAGACCCAGGGAAGGCTGTGGTTTGCCCACGCTCAGGGGAGCTGTGGGAGGCTGTCTTTGTTCCTCACAGCCCCCTCTGTGCTGCTCATTAATGTGCTCTCAGCAGGGCCCGGCTCAGCACCGGGACGGGCCTTTGTTGGGTGTTTTTGCCTGCAGGTGGCACGGGAGAGAATGGATCACCGAGGGTTCTCCTGACTCATCCCCTGCCCCAGTCCACATACCAGTCATTTTCTATACATTACCTAGTTTATGATGTGCATTTGCAAGTGGAGCTTACTTATTTTTCAGACCTCAGTCAGACTTAAAGATCTCCTTCAAAGAATTAGCAAAGAGGATCTCAGTGTAGCACTGTCATTGTGCAAAAGTGTTAAAATGAGTTTCTGGAGGTCTTCTGGTGTCTGCTCAGTGGCATTAATTTAACCAGAGCACACAGTTACCAAATTTAATCAATACGTGATTTAGTAAAAGGGGAAATTTTTCTGCACTACTGACCAGCCCAGTGTGAACTCTTTGTTCCTGGAAGGAGGATGGCATTCCAGGCACTGCTACGATGGGAAGCGTGACAGAACCTCAGCTCTGTCAAATACTTCTGCACATTGTTTTTTAAAGAAATTAATAGTAACAGTGAGTTTTGCATAATGAATAATCCAAGATGATTACTCATGGTTAGTCAGCACTGATATTTCTCATCTTTTTCTGCTTTTGTATAATTACCTCAGTAAAAATAGCTGTATGATTTAAATCCTTGTTGCTTTGTATTTTACCACAGAGATCAACTTAATTAATTAATATCTCAACACTGTATTTTAACTGTAGGATTGCAATTTCTCTTTCAATATAATAATTTAATGTCAGTTTTCGTGTTAGAGTTCCCATACTGTATCCACAATACTTCTAGTGAGAGAGGCTGGATAAGAAGCCAGGTGCAGGAGTTGAAGTGTCACCAGGCTGTCACTACTGAGGCTGCACTCTGGGAAAAGGAACAGCCTTGTACTGTGTGAAGGGGAATCTAAAATGGTTGAATATTCTCAAGATTTTTTTCATTAAAATTGTCTTCTGGTCTTTTAATCCACTGTGAAATACATGAAATTAGAGCAGAAACCTCAACAAAATAAGCATTGTTTGTGCAACAGAGGCAAACGTAATTGGAGACATTTTCTCCAATCAGTGAAATTATAAATGACAAAAATGAAATAGAACAACATATTCAGTTAATTTACTGATAATCTGGATGATTATTAATAGCAAGTACTTTCCATGTCTGTTATTTTTTGTACTCAGTCATAAATTCATCTTCAGTGGTTCTAAGTGCTCTATCAGAAAGTGGATTTGAAAAAAATGAAAAAGAAAAAACAACTAAAAACCTGTTCTGCGCCAGTTCATTGTTAAAATTGCAATGCTAAATGCAAAAGGTTACTTTTTAGGTTTTACATCTTTACTATTTTAAAAGCACCAATATATGACATGGTGCAAAAGACAGGTCAGTGATTTGGAAAAATACCTGTAAGTGGGTTTTAGATACTTTGTAAGTATTGCCAAAGCTTTTTTTTTTAATTACTGTTATTTATCTTTCAGTTTGGTTACTCAGGACCCTTTTTCCTGTAGGAATTTAATAAGATCTCAGCTGTATGATGGGCTGTAAGCCCAGCTGCAATGAAATTGTGCATATATGGGGTGTGTCCACCGACAGAGTACGGGGCATTCCAGAGGTCACAGGAACCTGTGTCCTGGACTGAGGAGCGTTCCTGCCATTGGAGCAGACACCTGGCTTTGGGGTTACTGCAGGAACTGACTGGAGCTGGATTTCCTGCAGCCAGCCCCGGGAGCTGTTCTTTATTTTTGAGTTACCCCTTGCTGATGGGCAGCGTGCCAAGAGGAGTCATCCTCTAGAAACTCTGTGCCCTTTCCTCTCCTCGAAGTGGGTATTTCATCCAGGGCCTGTCTCTGGGAAGTGACTCTCCAAGCTTCCAGTTCCCGGATTGTTCAGGGAGCTGAATGTTCCCGTGTACTTGGAGTGTTTATGTCCAAGCCTGGCTTGCGTTGATCCTGGGAATAGAGGGGGAACTGAGCATTCCAGGGGTCTGACCACGGGAACTGGGCTCCTTTGTTGATGAGAAGGGAAGTTTGCTGAGGGGGTGTCTGTGCTCTGGTGGGACCAGCAGAGCTCTGAATGCAGAGTCCTGGCCCTCTTTTAGGAGAGAGGAATTGCAGGTTGGTCTCAGTGTGACTTGGCACATTATCTCAGGTGCAGGTCCCCAATGCTCACTGCTCACATGGAAGGAA